TGACGAAGTAGTCGGCGTCTCCTCGCGTGAGAGACACAACCTCTCTTCTCTTCCTCCTTCCTGTTGCGACTCCCGCACTAGAGCCGCTCGACTAGGGTTTGTTGGACCGGTTCTTCGCTTCAAGGCTCAATCGGTTCTCCACCTTCACACACGAAGCTACTCGCATCCTCCATTCCTTTGAACGACTAGAGCAAGACGTTGAATCTCAGGCCTATATACATAACAAAATTTTTCTTTTTTACATTTACACCACCCATGTCTTTCGTAAAACATAAAAAATACCACTATTTTGACTTGAAATACGCCCTTTCATGCATAAGGTGAGATATATGTAAAAATTAAAGTTTAGGTCTTAGATATGTAAATACATATGAATTGAGTGGTATTTATGTAAATCTTCTTATTTTTTCATTATGAGTCGGGATTTATACTTTGTTTTCTTTGTCACTAGTGTTTTTTGGTTCAAAAGAGATGCAAGAGAGAATTAATTGAAAATATTCAAAGAATTGAATTAAAATTTATTTTAACCCTTCTCTTTAATTAAATGAACAACCAATTAATTGAAGTGTAGACACAAATTTAATGTTGCATATCGAACGAATTTTGACAGTCTTATGGACCTAAACGAATTCATTGATTGACTTCTAATAATGGAACAAATCTTTAAGTACACAAATATTGTTCCTAGTAGAAGGATGAAGCTAATTACAATTAATTTAAAAAAGAGTGCTTCCCTGTAATGGGAGAATTTGAAGCATCTATGCCAACACAAGGGAAAAAATAAGATCACAGCTTAGTTCAGGATGAAGATGATGCAGCACAAGTACTTTCCAGGATATTAAAGAGAAGATGTGCTTTTAATACTTCATCATTTGTAGTTGAACAACAATTACGACGGGTGTTTGGAGTTTTTCGGATTGAGCAATTATATGTCCACCCAAATGAGCATCATTTTTTGCCATCGAAAACATGCATTCTTGGATATATTTATTGTTTTAGTAGCCGACATTAGGATGAACCCCAGTAAGATTGGGCTATTGTGAACTAGCTTAGCCCACATTCGTTCGTTCAGGCACACCAATTTCATAGACTGGCTTCCTTCTATAAGAGATGTCAAACAAATCAGTTTATAGGCCCCCCCCCCCCACATTCGTTCAACTCAGACAGGTTCACCTGGTCGAATAAAGCACAGACCAATTTTAATGCCTTGAAGAAATATGTTACTCAGTTTCATGTTCTAGCTCTTTCGAATTTTAATTTAGTACTTCAAAGTGAGAATTGAAGTTGAGGATTGAAGTTGTGTTGAGTCAAGTTGGATACTTTATTTCATTCTTCAGTAAGAAGTTGAATTATTCCAGGCAAAGGCAATTTATATATGAAAATGAGTTTTATGTTATTATGAGAGCTCTTAGTTATTGAAGTCATTTTTTGCTAGTAAATAAGTTCACTCTTTACATTGATCGTGAGGTCTTGATATTCTTAAATAAGAAAAGTTAGCTAAAGGTGGACAGATCTAATGGTGTGGTATTCCTCTTTTTATTTTTTGCTTGGGCACATATTTGGTAGCTAAAATTAGATTGTTGATGTCTTGAGTTGCCATCATCTATTGATTTTTATTATCCGGTCTACGGGTTTGAAATGTTGAAAAATATGTATGCCATTGATGATGAAGTTCAACAAATTTTGATTCAATGCCAGAAGAGACCTTATAATCAATATCATAGATCTAATGGTTATTTTCTCTTCAAAAATAGATTTTACATTTCTAAGAGTTCAACCAGGAGTTTTTTCTTATAGGAGCACACAATTGAGGCATGATACAACTCTTTTTGATAAGGTTAAGATTCATTCATTATTAAATGAGAATTTTTATGTCTGAATTGATACGAGATGTGGGGAGATATATTCAACAATATAGGA